ATATAATGTCAAATAAAGCTGACTAAAATAAACTCAAAACCGTAAAGTTAATAAATAAAACTAAATCAGTAATTCAGTTAATACAATAAATGTAAAAAACTTTGATGGAACACAGGAATGATTATCGAACTGTAACGTTACGGTCATAGTCTAATCAGCTCTAAGCTCAAGATTGTAATCTATTACGTAAAATTACATGGGAAAAGGTAAGATTAGACACAGCCTAAAGGTTTAAAGAATAACAGAACTGCACAGGTGATAATCAAACCTGTCGAACCCTTGTATAATAAGTTAAATATTTGTATCCTAATTTAACACAATTACTCAACATAATTAAACATAATTACATAACACAATTTAAACAGTCGTATAATATAATCTAATTTAACATAACTTGACCTCTTACCATTCTCCTTATTTTACTGGCTATTAGCACTCTTTTGCCTTCTAATAGGCATTCCTGGCATTCTTAAGATGCTCAAAACATCGTATAAGAGATGCGAGCTAACTAACTCTCCTTCGAAGTTAACTTTATCTCGTTCGCTTCTTCATCGGCACACGAACTTGTTTATTCCCCCTACTTGGTTGTAATTGCAGCAGGTAAGATCTTTGTCGTTAAGTAATTAAAAAATTGGCAACTGCGTAGGCTGGTGCTATTAATGGTAGCGTTTGGCGCGTGAAATATCATGTGCTTATGGTCGTTGGCTTGAACCTTATAATTCATCGTCATTTAGCGTACACTCTTCACTGGGCGTAACGATCCCTGTTCCGTCACCAGGCTCAATGAAATAAAGGTGGTCAAAAAAGGTTGACCCTATATATTAAAATACGCGCTCACTAGCGACTTGTCCCTCGAGGGTTACCGTTGGTTTCGATCTAAGTAGCTCGAAAGGGTACCTTCCTCAGAGGGAAGGCGTGTTCAATGTAGATTTATCTTGGCTTTGGTCATGTCGCCCTCTGCTGGGCCGGACTTGCATTAAACCCAAACTAACATGGCTAGTATCCGATTTGGTACTTGAACTTATTTACAAACTACTAACCAACCAATGAATCGTGATTATGGTACCTTCTTTAGCTAAGATCAAAACATGTTGGTCACGTACTGAGGAGAGTCGCAGGTGGTAATTTACGCCCGGTTCGAATGAGTTATTCTTAAAAATGGTAAAAATCGTTAGTTTGTAATGTCCTGAGGCAGGTTTTATCTTACCTGTATTCAAAGGCGCATAGTTTGGTTGACTAATCTACATTAAGTTTAGTTAACGGGAATTTGTAGCTTGAAGGATGACTTTATAGCTTAAATTATGAATAAAGCAAAACACTAATAATATCATATAAACTATTTCCCTTTATTCTAAGCTTCGCGTTGAGTATTAGCATGGCCTTTCGAAGCGGTTTTAAATCTAATTAGAAAGAATTGTTGAAACCAATTTATTCACCATTAAAAAAAACGTTGATGAATGCAGCTAAATTATGTAGTACACTGCTCTTGGTGCAAGCAAGTAGCAAAAACGAATGCTGCCAAAGTAAAAACTACATAACGAGTAATGGCGCTATACGCTATTCCTTGTTTCTGAGGATGCATGTGTAATCAAACTCTTTGGTTACATGCGTAATAGTATTGGTACTATATATTTATATGTAGTTTTGGCGCAATCTTGTGTCGTTCTTATATATATCCCGCGCCGCTCCCCTGTATTATATCCTCTTATATGCGAAGAAAGTCATTTTAATTTCAAAAATAAACTCATAAATAAAGTCAATAACAAGTCTATTGTTAGTTACACAATTATCGCATGGTCTACTGCTCTGCTTAGCACTTTAACAGAAACAAAAAATTTCGAAAAATTCCCCTACAAATGTTTACGAGGCGTATCTGGTTTTATGGAATATTCCAAATTGCATAGTAAATGTATGATGGGACTTCTAGTTATTTAATTTGGACGGATGGTTATGAACTGTATTACTGCTTAATATAAAGCACGCCCTTACAAAATTATATAACTAAAGCATTGAGCTACCTCCATTCGCATTTTTTAAAATATGAAGCTTAACATTTATAAATTTATCTTATAGGGGTGATATATATAACGGCTTCAGAATATTGTATCAGAAGGAAAAAAGGGGGGTTAACGCTTACAATTTAAGAACACCGTTGTCTATGTTATAAAAGTTGGCCTTAAAGGCCTTAAATTTTGTAAAGGAGGCCAGCTTCCTTAACCTCCTACCTAAATTGAAATATAGATTAAGCAGTTTAAGTTTAGCAGCTATAACCACTGTGGCGGGGCTTCGTATTCGGAGGGGGAGCCTGTTTAGCATTTTCCTGGCAAGCTTCTCCAAAGGCTAGAAGCTGGTATCTTAGCTGCCTCTCCCAGTGGTGGTCTCTAGCGGTTTTCCGTCGCACGTCTAAACGGCAACACACCTGGTTCAATTTGTTACCCCAGCCTTAATAACTCCGACAGATGAAGCAAGATTTTTTGTGAATGACCATGGTATACCAGTGCCGAGCGTTGCTGTTGCTATTAGCTTTTATTGATTCTTTTTATTATTTTTCCTTTTCTGTTCTTTATAATCTTTTATATTTATGTATACTTTGTTCGATTTCTATTATGCCAATATATCTTATACAAATTACCGCGTTTCCGTGAAGTGCCGTGAGCAATGATAGTTGGTTGGGAGTTTTCATTAAATTCGAAGGATACTTAAGTTATTAAAAGAAAAACATTAAATTCTAGGCAATTATACTTTACAAAAATAAGTATTTTAAGGATTGTTAACTCGTTAGCAACAGGTAACGCAGTTTGTAAATGTATCCTCTTCCAAATCGTTGGGGGGAGACATAAAAAAATTTAAAAGAGCAAATTTTTAAAATGGTTACACTTTACTAAAGCTGAAAAATGGGCTTATTGTCCAACAAAAACAATATTACTACAGTTAGTCCAACCAATTTTAACACACGGCAACGCAATGTTACTTCAGTTATATCTCAGAGCTGTTGTTAAAATAATACTCCACATTATTTCTATTTTATTACTGAATAGGATTCCAAACGTAATATATACCATAAAACGTTCTTTAGACGAACTTTTATAACAAACATATGGTATTTCAGTTTGCTCGAATACAATCTTCAAGAAGTTTTAAAAACTTTAAAAACTTCAAACAGCTAATGTGTACATATTACTATAAATAAAACTTGCCCCTTACCACAGCTCTCGTATAGTTATAGTTCCTTTTTTAACAGTAATTCTTTGTTTAAATAATGCTCAAAACAAAGTTTTGCAATGCAACACTATATACACCAGGAAGTATACCTCAAACTGCGTTACCCATTTAAGGTCCCAAGTTATACAATTAAGTGCAAATATTATTTAAAAGTCTACGATCTCGATGGTGAGCTGTTAAATCAATTTTTTCTCTTAAAAATTGGCTTAAGGTAATCAAGTCTACTAACACATATTGCTTTGTAAATAATATATTGCTTAAAAGTGGTATACGGTTCTAGTAATTTTAACAGCTAGAAATATAGCCAAGGTTTTTTTTTGGCTTTTAAGTTACCTTCACTGGTAAACGTATAAACATCTCCGGGTACGCCTTCATGTCTGTTTGCATGAGTACTAATCAAAGTTATATCCTTGGAAGCTATTTGTAATTTTCCTTAAAGCGCTAATTCTTGTGTGTAATATATACACTGGTGCATAATAAAGGTTCAACAGTAAGCAGCCGTAGAACTCAATTTTTAACTGTTCTTATTCAAAACAATATAAACCTTTTGCTATATAAAAAATTTACAACTTGTTTCTTTGAGTTTCTTCATGCTTGTAACGTAATATTTTTTTAAAATTAAAACAAAAAAAATAATATGCATAAGCGAAACGACAAGGTTAATGATATGAAAACAGGAACAAGTAAAATATTATAATAAAAGAGAATTAGAATCAAAGAAGTAAGCTCTATACAATATGCAAAGGTGATAGAGTTCTACATAAAGGGTCGATAGATAGAAGGTGATTAAGTAATGCCACGGATGCTACTTTATATAAAAACAAAATTCATATATTTGGTAATTCTCCTAGAAGTATGACCAGGAGAATTAAATTAACTAACCCTCACAAAGTATAAGGATTTATAGCGCATCTTGCTCATCTTACTATACCGCGCATATGACTAACTTTAATCTTTAAACCCAAAAGAGAAAGGCACACTTGCGATGACCCGAGCTGTTTAATACCCTTTAAAATGGCTTGATGCCTTTTATAGCATTATTTTTTGCTTACCTTTTAACTTTAAAGGCAAGAAAGATTAAACAATTCAGAGTTTACCTTTTATTATATAAAATTTTATAGTAACATGAAAAGTATCAATCTAAAAGAGTTTAAAAAAAAAGCTAATTAACTATTTTTTTTTATCAAACAATAAATTATATATACGAAATATATTACGATAATAAAAGAAGTCTAAAAAACAAAGTTTTTCATCTCTCAAAAATAATGTAGTTAAACAAGAATTATTTTTAAACATGCTACTATCAAAACTATAGTTTATATTTAGTGACTCTCTTTTCCTTAATAAATATATTTTTAACATATAGTGAAGTATTATATGGAGTACAAATGATATAAACTAACTTATATAGGATTAATGTAGTAGTATCGTAGAAAGTTAGTTGCGTCCTAAATAATTATAATTGTATCCAAAGAGTTAGTTTTGCCCTAAATAATTGTTATAATTGTATATCCAAAGAGCAATTATTTATAGCAGGAAACAAAGCTTTTAGAGTGAAGACCTGTTCAAAGTAAACATTCATCTGAAAGTATACCACTTTTCTTTGCATGATAACTTCTACGGCGTGCAAAATAAAAAACCCTTTGAAGCACATTCACAGTAGCTTAACACGCCTCGTGAGTTTAATATTTTTTTCATTGGGCTTCATTTACTTCGCCACCTCTACAGACGGCGCGGTCTAACTTGTGCTCTTCCCTGGTAGAATTTTAGCTTTCTTTGTTTTAGTTTACTCTTTACTAGGCGTCCTTATATTATCCTTGTTATAACGTAACTTATATAAAATTTGAAGTATTCTTTTATGCAACTACTTATTGTCAGTCCTTTTTTAAGTTACCTTAATGTTGATCTGTGTTTTTCTTTTTCATTGTTGTATCCCATTTACTTAAGCAATATTTATGTAATTATATTTGTTATTTCCCAGAAGCTTCTTGAAAAGATTTTTTTGATAAAAACCGGTCTTGGGTAGTATGTAAGACAATACTTTGAGAAGTTTTTGCTTTTATTAAATAGGCTTCCCTTAATTTTATTTATAAATTATAACGTGTCTTTTTGTAGGAGTCGTCAATACAGTAACAGCCGAAGCCGAACACGAAGCCGCGGACGAGTCGAAAGCCGCAATAGGAACCTCAATCAGGATGGACGGCGTAAGCGTAGCAGAAGTACTAGTAGTAGTAGTAGAAGTTCCAGTAGAAGCAGAAGCAGGAGTTATTCCAGGTTAGAGTTAGTACTTTTCCGAATTTTTTTTTTAACTTTTACTACAGAAGTAGTCGCAGTAGTTACACAAGTTCTGACTCAAGTTCCCGCTCTCGAACCCATTCTTCCTCCCGTTCCCGTTCTCGCTCTTATTCTAGAAGGTGCCCTCGTCTTCCGCTCCTTTCTTTTTCTTTACTCACTTTAAAATAAATTTTAGTCGTTCGAGGGGTCGTCGCCGAACTTCCTCCCGCTCTCGTAAAAGTGCTAGTCCTGAAAAAGTATACTTGCTATTTCATTAAATCAGTTTTACGAATTTTCAGTTAAATTTATTAGAGTCGCAAGTTATGTGTAAGCAACTTGACTAGAAATGTTACTCAAGAACACTTGCGTGAGATTTTTTCTATGTTTGGTAAAGTTGTAGAAGTTCGCCTGCCGCTGGATCGCACTCTCGGGATTGTACGGAACTAACTAACTCAAATTATTATATTATTTAATATAATGTTGATTTCAGCACAAAGGGGTTTCGTATATAACCTTTGAAAAAGCGGCCGAAGCCTTGGTTGCCCACGAGCACATGTTTGGTGGTTCTGGTAAGCTTTATATTTTACTCTTTTTTCTATTTTTACACGCCATTTTTTCTTGGCCGCGGCCAGCCTGGATCGACGGTCAGCACATAAATTGTGAGTTCGTTTTGGAGCAGCAACGGAAGGCGTCACCTCGTCGCCGCCGAATCTCCTCCCGATTCAGGTTTCTATTGCCTGTTTGTATACGCTTTCCTTGCATATACAAATTTTTTTTTAAGAACTCCTCCTCGGAGATCCCCCCTTTATCGGCGCCCGTTTATTGGTATTATTTTTTATTAATTAAAAATTCTTTGAATATAATTTATAGTGAGCTCCTTAATCTATTATTGTCCATTCTCTGCCGGTTATTGCTAGGGAGGTTCAGGTATAATGACCGTATGCCTCGAAGAAACTATTCCCCTCGACGGCGAGCTTTATCGCCGCGTTATAGCCGGAGGAAAGCCTCTTTAAGACAGTTCAGAGTTGTATAGATAATTTTTTTTTGTTTAGATCTCGAACTCGCAGCCGGTCTCGGACGGGCAGTCGCTCGCGAACTCGGTCTCGCTCGAACAGTCCGCGCCGTACCAAGACTGGTGTTGGAAGGGCCCCTCGCAGTAGAAGCCGCAGTCGCCAACGCAACCGCGTCAGTTCTCCGCCTACTAAAAGCGAGGGGGATCGCCAGGAGAGGACTTGAATAGACCTGCCTTTTATAGAAAGCCGAACATTCTTATTTATATCTTGCTTATATATTTAGGCAGGTAGCGTTGGGGTTTGCTGATAATCAAAAGTGTTTAAGAAATTCTTTATTTTCTGATTGCCCTTTTAGGCGTCAGTAATTGTACAAATAAAGTTTTTACAATACTCGCGGGGATCATACACAGTTGCTTTACTGCCTACTTTGGGAGACCAGACACGGGCGACAGCAAATGCTCTTGCTCACTCAGCACACGTGGACCATCTCCAACGCTTGTGAGAAGAACTAAGCATATTATTACGTAAAGTCGCACTTGAAGGGGGGCGTTGCAAAAAAAATTTACTGTAGCGCAGGGCGTCTACCTTTCTGGGCACGTTGACTTTCGCTTTAAGTGCTTCGAGTTTACCTTGATCTGAGTCAATTTGAAAAGAAAACCCTTTAAGAAAGCTGAAGAAAGGAAAGTTAGTACAATTTTATTTATAGGTGTGACATAAACATTGAGGCAGATAAGAAGCACCCCTCTTGCGTGGAGGGAGGGAAAAAGTGTAAGAGCAAGGAGGTGATTTCGGCAACAGACTCCTTTAAAGTGTAAATAACCGCATTGGGTCCAGCGTCGAAAGTGTAAGCAGCCTGCAATACGCAAAAGAAAACTTTAGTACAGTCCAACTACTGCTATAATAGACACCGGAAGCCTTTATTTCTCTGCTGAACGCATTGTACTGCGTCACCAAGTCTACTATGGACTTGGATACGTCGTTCATATAGAAAATGGGAGGGTACGTGTCCAAGCAGACCGCGTGGAACTGGTTACTCTCCTAAAGGGAAAGCTAAGCTCCCCCCCCCTCCCCTGGCACTAGTAACACCTGGTAATAGACCTGCATGGTTATCTGAGCGAAAACCGGGAAGTTTTGTTGGGTGATCGCCTCCTCAATTAGACCAAGTCTTTTGGTGACCACGTGGTTCACACGGTGCTAAATGGTCGGATAAATGTGGAAATGTTAGTGACAAGTACGATAGACCAGTCACGTGCCTGGAAGAGTTCGCTCGTCTTCACAGTGGAGGCCATTCCGCTGGTGCTGCTCGTTTCCTTAGGTGTATCGCTGACCTCAACAAACAAATACAGGAGCTTTTCCCTCTTGGCAACACTGCCTGGCAGAGACGAGTTACCACTAGTACCAGCAGCCGTATGTCAGGCCAATGGCATTCGTCGTGGGTTTGAACTGCTTTGCAATCCCTTCCGTCCTCGGCTTCTCCTGGAATAGTTTCTTATATATTATACATTATTACTATATTACGGTGGCCAAGCCTACCCATTTCCCATTTAACCCATCCGCCAAACATACTTCTGCACGCACTCCCTAGAGATCGCTTGTAATTAAAAACTTGAGCCGCTTAGTAAACAACTAAACTGGATACCGGAGCCCAGACGAGCGATCTGAGATAGTTCGCCAACGGGAATATCAAAGAGCTTCCCCATCGCAAAGACTGAAAAGTATATACCAAAAGGCAAGGAAATTTTCCAGTAAAGAACTATAAAGATAAAATAACCGAGAGTGGCGTAACCAGAAGCGGATGATGCTAAACCGGCGGCGGTGGGGAAATTATTTTGCTTTGAAATAGTAAGTAAAGGACGTATAACGGTTGAATAAAACTTCACTGAACAAATATGAAGTTTGCAATTTAAAAGGGGATCGTGGCAACCTTTTCTTTGCTTGTACCTCTCACGGACTAGTAATATTGAGTAACGTGAAAATTATTACAGTTACAGAAAGATAGAAAATGATATTTACTTGCTTTTAATACAATTTGCAAACGCGGGTTTGTAATGACCTCTTCTCTATTCATTTAATTAAATCTCAATTTTGTAAAAATTAAATTCAGTACAATAGATGTCAATTTCACTAGTGCATTCATAAATAAATACGACATTTAAAAACATAAAACAAGGGCACCACACTTTTAACTGCTTTTACTTAATAGTTACCTTTTATTTAGCCAAATTCGATCTTCCGAAAAAGATTCGCTGGCCATGACTGTGCTTATACTGATTATATACCTATATATTTACTAATTGTTGTAACTACCGGAGGTTACAGTTTTTAACTCCTTTTGGTTAAGAGTGGCACTTAGAGACGAATTTGAAGGTAGTATTAACTCTTCATTTCTCTTTCCCCCTTTAAAATATTGAACTCAAAACAACACAGAAATATTATCCTCAAAATAACGAATGTATTAAAAAAAATTTTAAAAGCTATTTAATAAAAATATATTTGAAATGATTAAAATCAAGTGGGTCAAGAGGAAAGGGATTAAAATAATATAATAAAACGTTAACGATTCTTAAAAAGTAGGCATACTACACCTTATAAACATATTTTTTTAGGGCATAGAGTTAAAACACTAAGCAGATTAAGAGCTTTATTAAACTTAAAGCGAATGTAACCTCAATTCAAACTCACTATAATATGATAACTTTTACAACTTAATATAATTTTATTTCTTAATGTAAAAAATAGTATTATTGGCATAAATAAAGCTGAAAATTTTTAACTTTTCCAAGATAAGTGAAAAGTTTAAAGATAGTCAAAAAGGAGAATGAGGAAAATTTTAAGTTAGGTATACAATAAAACATATATAATACAGTATTTTATAACGGCAATGTTAACTGGGCCCGAGCAAGTAATTAGCTTAGTGAATACCATGATAACGAAAATACTTTAGAAGTAGAAAAGGTAGAAGAGAGTTTCTTTTTTTCAACTAACCAAGGATATTAGAGACTTGGCAAAGTCAGGGAACTAAAACGTGCGACATGATAGCCGAACTTTTGGGTCAATTGAATATTTGCTCAAGAATATTTCCTGCCTCAAAAGCATTTTTTTTAATTCAAGCTCTCCGTTCTAAGTAGAAAATTTTCTTTAAAGCTTTATTACGAAGAGAACAATATTAAAGTCATTTATATAAGACTTATATTTTACGCTTATTGCAAATGGAAAATTAAAGTCAGGTACACACAATATATTTAGAAGCTATATTTAGCGAAGTTCTTTACTACTTGGATATGTTAAACAACTAAGAATTATATGTGATAAGCAAAGCTGTTATTGATTTTTATAAAGAATATAAAATAAACAGTAAAAATTTGCGGTTTTACTATTATACTTATTATTCCATTTGTAAGAATCTCAAAAAATCTTAAATATAACTAAAAGTCTTACAGAACTGGGGCAAAGCAACGTTAGGGAGATAGTTCGTATTAATTAGCTTCGATTTATTTTTTTAAAATAGGGGAGAGATGTTCTCTAAAATCTAGGCTTAAGTAATTAAGTTTAAATTGCTATACACTTTTTTTTGAGAAGTTAACATCGTAGCAACTATTACTATTTATTAACTCTTCAGTTTTTATTGCGGTCACTTTGTAAAAATTTTATAACTTTGCTTTAAAACTTTACCGGGCTATATATGCCTTGAGACGTACAAAGCAAAAGTGGCTGACTAAAATACTTTGAAAATAGGTTAGCTTTTAATTTAAAGTTACAAATTTATAAGTTCAACAGGACAAAGAATTTTTAATACAATAGTTTTTCTGAGAAAACTTAGTATAGTTCTAGAAGTGTGCCTTCAAGAGCACTTTTTGTAAGCAGTTTTAAAAGTTTTCACTCTTGCATACTTTTAAACCGAGGTTATAAAATACAAAGTGCACAGGCACTCAAAGTTTTGTAACCTTAAGCTTCACGTAACTCAATTTTTTTGTTTGGTGAAAAATAAGTAATATATAACGCTAAAATAAATGTTAAATAACCACAAATGTGTTGGCAAAAGTTTTTGACTAAATAAGTTAAAAAAAATTAATAATGAAAACTAGTTGGATAGCCACTTTCCCTTTAAGCTTAGTTTCACCTGTAACAAGCAATTGCTTTTTATCTGCTCTTTCTTACTAAGAATATTACCTTGCATATGTATGGACGAAATTAAATAAAAAGCACCAATTAAAAAATAGTTCGGCAAATGAATCACACGGAAGTATGTGGTACATAAAACACGTAAACCAATTAAACGTCGCTTAGTGTAAGTATAACTATTGGAGCATAGAGGACAACGCATTCCCCCAATATTTTATTACGTATCGAGGTAGTTTCAATATGAGTATGGATATATTGATAAGAGTTCCTAATAAGGATCTCCCTGATGTTGAAATTCAGGCGAGATGGAATTGGACTACTTTGCATTTGAAAACTAAAGTTCAAGAGATACATCCACTAAAACCTCTGATAGCGGAACAAAGGTGTTTACAAAGTGGAGTCATCTTTTTTTCTGTGATTACCTATTTTTGATATCTAGTAGCTATCATTCTACTTTATATAATATTATAATTTAATATTAGCCTTATTTAATGTAAATTAACCTTTTAGTATGAATTAACTTTTAACTTTAACCTTTTAAATTTAGACTTATACACGGTGGAAAGACTTTATTGGATGGATCGTTACTTAAGGATTATATTCCACAAGTATTTCTTATTCTCTTAGTAGTTATTTGTCTTATTATATTTATTAGACAAAAGATTCATGTAAGCCGATAGTTTATTTAGTGGTGCGCACACCCCCTCGTGAAAATGTTTCAACCACTTTTGTTAACTTTTCAGAAACGTACGCTAGTTCCAGCGCATTGGAAGATTCGATAAAGCCTTCACAGAAGTTGGTTCAGAGCTCTTCCAGTGCGTTAAAGCTTATAGAAGATAACGTAAACAACTTTAAGTTGGGCGAAGACTCTGCTTTTATAGATAAGCTTCCTCCGGAAATGTTAAACGCTTTAGAGAACTTGCTTCAGTCAGCCATGGTCGACTATCTTAAACACGCAGAAGGTGATGCCGTAAATTCTGGTACAGGAATGGTTCTGAACTACGCAGAAAGTGGAAGCAACGCTGGTGGACTGGTAGATAATACTTCCCCTCCGCCTTTTAACAACCGTCCTGAGGTCCCCGAGTACAACGATGGCGAAGACTATTTAGATAGACCGCAACAAGAATCCCAATTTGTTTTGCTTTTTAAATGGGCTTTTTTTGTACTGGTGTTTTCGCAGGGCGCTAGCCGTCGGAAATTTTGGTTCCTGCTATTTTTTTCCTTAATTGGTTTTTTGTAAGTGTTTTTTCTAACGGAGTAGAGGTATTTATTAACATATATCTTTTTTAGGTATCAAACTAACCGAATTAATTTTCTGGCTTTTAATAATAATAATATAGCAAACGACCCTAATAGAAACGATAACCACGAAAGTAACGCTGCCCCTACTAATGCTGGCAGCAGTTCTGATACGGCTAAAGTGGTTCGATCAACCCATTTAACTAACTTGTCGAAAATTTTGAGCGATATTGAAAGTTTTGTGGTTAACTTTTTTATTTGTTTGCTTCCAAGTCGGATGCCCAACGAATTTGATAACGTGCCAGAAAATATGTTTTAAAAAAAATTATGTCAATAAACTGAGGGCTGTCTTTATTAATATACACTTTTATTTTTGCTAATGATTTTGAGTACTGAGTAGTAAAAAAGTGGACTATAACTCTTTGTCAGTTTTAGATTGCTGACGGGAAAAATTACTTGACTTCATTATTAGCTTTTCCCACTCCGATAAGACGCGCCAGTGCTTTCGTAAACCAAAAGGACCTTTCAGATTAGCGATATTTTTTTTAGAAAGGACGTAGCCATATGATCTCTGTGGGCTCCATCTATTCCTTTTCATTAAGAGCGCAATTGCTACGACGGCAGAACGACCTCTTCCCCCTTTACAGTGAATAAACACAATATCCCTGTGTTCTCTTTTTTCTAGATCTTGTTCATTTAGAGAGACCCCTGCTTCTACCTGCTTACCATTCTCAATAAAAGTAACAGCCTTTTGAACTTCTTTAAGGGTCGGAGAAGAATAATCCGGCACATGCAGCTCAATGTGCTGAGGCAGAAAAGTTAAAAATAAGATAATCGCTAACTTCTGTTTAAAATAACAAAAAACCTGAAAACCAAAGGATTTTAATTCAGAACTGGTAATTTTTAGTTCGTGTGGTTCTAAGAGTGTGACAATCTTAGTAACGCCCATATCTCTGAGTTGCTTTAAGTGATCTTGGGTTTTGGGCAATACACCGATGTATAGGCCTGTAGAAGGTAGTGATAAACAGAAACTTAAAAGTAAAATGTGGTATACCTTTGGCTAATTTAGTAATTTGAAAAGGGCGCTCGGAGCCTAGGAAGAAATGAAGTACATACGCGGCTAAAGAATAAATAGAACGAGGGGCACAGCCAAAATATAAAGACGCAAAGAAAAGCGCTCCACCCGCTATAATAAGCAAGAAAAGATGGGAGGGTGCGAAAGTTATGACAGTCATCAATACCTGTAACAAGTATTCAAAGTACGTTCATATCAGAACATTGATAAAATTTTTAACTATTATGTGTGCAAGTTAAAAAAAATTATTAGGGGAAGCCTCCTTTTCTTCTACAAGTTTAGGTAGTAGTTCCCCTTTAAAAGGGCAAAAAAAAGTAACGACTCGCACATTTTGTGGTATTTAATTATAACTGGCGCTGTCTTGTGATCGATCGAGTTAACATTTTCGAATACGCGAGCTCTCAATCAGGTCTAGTTGCCCACAAGTACAAGTTAAATTTTTATCTTAAAAAATGATCAAATAAGTCCTACGCGTTTAAATAAACCTCAAACTTAACAATCAACCATAACACTAATTGTGCGTTAATGGGGTATTGACCTGTCCAGCTATCCGTTCGTAAAAGGGCGACGGCATTACTTCCAAAGTTACTGGTCAAATCGCTCACTCTGTAGTTTGCTGTGAAGTACATTATTGCGCACAAATCCAGGTGCGTGTGTAAAAGGCTTAGCCGTTTTATTTTGTCCTTACTAAAAGCGAGGACATAACTGCCTATAAGTCGTAGGCGAAAGCAGCAGAAGAGTAAGTCATGATCGCCGAATATACAACGCTTACAGCCTCCACTTGTTGCGGGAGGAATGCTTACTTTTGCGGCACAATAGGTAATATAGCTTCTGCCCCCACCTTGACTTTGTTACCACGTAATTTACGTGCGCATGCCACGAGAGCTTAGATTCTACAAATCTATGGTAAGCCACAATCATGACGTTGAAAGTTAACGCTGTCGGCGTTAAATCTTTTAGTTATAAGAAGCACCTTGCTTTTTGCTACGGTAATAGACCGGTCTACCTTAGAATCGCAGTAGTGATATATACTTACTTTTACCTACACTTAGCAAAGTATGGTCAGAACATAACATATAAAATTATAAAAGCCTAGAAGATATTATTAGTCTACGGGCTCACTTTGCGGTAAGAACAAAAAGGGTAAGATTATTCTAGTTTAATTCGGGTGAAATTAACTTATTAACATAAGCATCAAAGTACTTATCTATTTATAGCCCGGTCAACCCGGTGGATACTCCACATGCTTTTCTTATTTACCAAAAGTTTATAAAAATCTTTTTAATGTTTTTGTCTTTAATAGTTAATAATACTAAATTTCCAGGCATAAAACTCTATAATATATAGAATGGAAAAGTAAAAAAAATCTCCCTCAGTATAACAAATAGAAAGTATAACTTTATTGGCGTGTATAACTCAAATATGAAACAAACAGGACACTTTTGAAAAAGTAATTTTATCTAAAGAAAAAATTTTTTTAAATGGGATTGTGCTTAAAACTCCTAACAAGTAAAGAATTTTTAGTTGCAAGTCAAAAAAAAAAAAGACACAGAAACCACGTTGGAGTGCTATTCTTTCAAGGTGAGTAGTAAAGTTCGCAACTTTTGCTTCTGGGAGGCACCCGGATCTCCTTTCGCTGTAAAGTTGCAGATTTCGCACACTTCTCTCCAGTCCTGTGGGGTTGGCTGAGTAGATCGAGGGTTGGTCAGCTCTTTAGCCCCCCTTTTTTCAGCGCTTTCGCACGTCTTCCTGCTTTTGCACGCCAATGACCGTTGGTAGTTCTCCTTGTAGTTAGAAAGATCCTGTTGGGCTTTTCTGAAGAGCTCCTTACGAGCTTAAAAAGTAAAACCGACTACTTAAAATACACTGTAGAAAGGAGAAAAAAATTGTGCTACCTTCTTCCTCTTCTGCGTCTTTTTTAGCTAGGCGCGCTTCAAAATTGTCCCGCCATAATCTAAAAAGTTCTCATTATTAGAGATTCTATGGTTTGGTTGATTAGTATACACACTTAACAGCCTCTGATTCTCTTTCTTGAGGAGAAGCATGGCTAATTACGTCATCTAAAAAAAAGTAATAAGTTTTAAATTGTTGTGTGCTACATGACAATACCAATAGAAGGTTGGGAAGTTTGCACATCACCAACGGAAAGAGATTCAAATTCTTCAGTAAGGAAAGGGCTATTACTACCTTTCTCATAATCTAGTAAAAAAGTTTTAGTTAGCGGGCAAAGTAAACGTTAAAAAAAAAATTCTTTTGCAAGTCATCCAAGATTTCAAGTTAAAGTGCAATAAGAACATTGCGCGAAGAAAGATTATAATACAAATCTACTATGAGGACTTTAGTTAAATATAATATAATAAAGGATTTGTGATATTGAGTTATTATATGTACTCTCTATTTTTCAAATATCTTTTATATTTTATTATTTTATTCATAATTTTTAATTGCTTTCTTATTATTATTTAAATACTTTATAAATTACTTCTTAGCTAATAAAACACTAGAAACTTATTTTAAATGCGCACGACAACGAACGTGTAATAAACATAAAAAAATATATGGGCTAGAAAACTACAACAATTTATAAAAGTTAATACCTTTTTCAAAAGTTTTAGGCGAACTGGTAGTAAAACCTTCAGGAGGTTACAGTCGTATAACAACAGAGAGCTTTAAAAATTTAAAAGTATACGCTACCTGGCTCAGATGAGGAAAGCGACTTAAGGTCTATATCTTCTTTAGAATCAAGAGTATCTTCAATAGAATCAAAGAGGATCTGTTTTAATTCATGTTAGTCTTTATTAACAAGATTAATATTAATACAAAAACAAAGGGATAAATTACTACTTATGGAAACGAGTTTTCAACCTAAACTTTTTTATTATAATAAAGAGATAAGTTGAGTACAGTTTCATCTCCCAGCTCAGAAAAAGCTTCTTTTTCTTGTGCTAGAAACTCGGCAGTTGGATCTTTCATGGTTAGGTTTTGCGATAAGTAAGAACTCCTTTCTAATAAACTTCTGGGCTTATAACGGGCCTACGATTTAACTTTACATATATCAGTTGTCTAAGTAATACAATAATTAAGCCAATAATAAATATTAAAAAAAAAAGGTTATAGAGTCACACCTTACAGCTATTAGGTGAAACAAACGGTGAAAAAAAAAAATACTTTGTCTGAAGTGTGGAAGGCACTGCTCTGGCAGAAAAACCATTTTTGGAAGTGCCCAGAAAAAGTGTTTTTAATTGCCTCGTTTTATTGGATGTTAAGGGGTTAGCAGGCCACCAAGTTAAGGTCCACAGGCATAACAACCTCTTCAAGATCAAGTTTTATTGATAAATTATAGTTCAGCATTGTTAAAAATAATCTTTTCATATATTATTGAATTTTCTTCTAGAGGTTTCGGTAGCTAGATAAGGCTTAAAAAAATTAAAATTAAAAGTTGTTTTTAAACTTACGTATGGGAATTACCGGATAATAGTTAGACACTATTGTACAGATACCACAACTATGGAGCGCCACCACTACCATTTACCTTTCAGTCTTGCTTTATATCAAAAAAATGTTCTGACCACAGGCCCCCGAAGTATCTAGCATTATTGTACATCTCCCTGACCTGAGAAAAGAAAAGTAGGTTGGGGTAATTTACTTTTTCGCTATAATTAACTTAAATGACCAGAATTTATTTAAAAAAAATATATATTAAGATTTTCCTTTTATAAAAGTTGATCTTTTCGTTCTTGTACTAAGTACTTGAAAATTTAATCTTTTTTTGATTAAAACAAATTGATAATAACTAAAGTTTAAAAATATTGTAACTTCAAAAGACCATGGGCAAAACTGTTTGCTAAACAGTATAACTTATTAGCAAAACTTTAATGTGTTGTAGTTCCATAATAATAAAAATTTAGTATGGCCCAAGTACCTCCCTAGAGCGCTTCTAAAAAGAGCTATCATACGTACATAAACTCACACGTAAAGTTTATGCTAAAAAGGTCGAAACACAGTAAGACCTATCTAATTTTTTTATTAAAAACACTATAGGGAAAGAACACTTTTGACCTATGTATTAATTTGGATTCCCTGTTTAAAAAAACAATCTATGCGGTTGAATGAAACCCACAGTTTTCTTCATAAATTTATTTTCATTACTACAACAATACTTCTCGTAAAACAACTACATTTAATACCTATTTTTTTATGACAACCGTCTACTCTAATTTTTATTTTTCTCGAGTGTTGGTTTACAGGCTTTTATATTTTGAGAATCTAATATATAGTAATCAATAAAGTAAAGTAAAAGATTAAAATAATACAGAGTTATTTAAAGCTTAAAAGCAGTGTAGTAATTTATTGATAGTCCTTAAGCCGCCTGAGTAGCACAAAACACACCCACACAACAAACAATATTTAAAAGGAAGTGCGGAGGCACGGATCATTCCAATATAGCTATTAAATTAGTGTTTTGCTTAAGCCCTCAACTACGTTTAGTACGTTAAAAAAAAAAAAAGGATTATATATCAGTTTACCTGCATTTAGGTATTTTTAACCCCGGCCTTTTCTTACAACCCAAAGTAAGCAGTTGTGCATAGAGATAGGTTTGTATAATAAAAATTTCCTTAAACCATCCAGATACGCCAATAGAGGTTTTGATGTACTGTTCAAGAATTAAAGTGTTTTAGTAATTGGTCATACAAGTAAAAATGGGGAACCTTTTCTATTTTTTTTTAACACTACCATACTAGTATGCAGCAATTTTGCTGAAATAATATTGCTTTTTGTAAAATTTATATACTTTCTTAGTTTTGTCTTATTATGCTAACCGCATTAATTAAAGTTAAACATTTCTTAATTCTAAAAAAATTTTAAAATTATTATATTATCTAAAATACCATGCGCTTTACTTGAAAAGCTCAAAAATTAAACTAAGTATACTCTTTATTCAATACCATTATATGTATTACATATGGTGGCCTAACTGTCACCAACTATAATAGCTCTTCTTACTAACCATTTTAACTTCTGTCGTCGCAACTCTTATTTAAAAATTAGTAGTAGCAGTACGCTCTCAGACCCCTTGAGTTTTTAAATTTTTTACCTTTATATTAAATAAAAATTACTGTTAATTTTTGAAATTTGTTGTTCATTGAGATATTAGGATACAGGTCGCGCTAAATTTTAACTTCTATCTAATCTGAAAATTTAAAAAACAAAATCAGATTGCAACGAATACATTTCGGGACATACAGTCTTATTTTTTATTTTTTTTTGCAAAAAATATTGTATGTTAAACGACATATATCACTGCTGGAAAAATAAAAAGAAAGTTCTTTATGTAAAAGAAAATTAATTATCAAAAAACTTGTTTAAAGGGGCATCTCACTTGACTAAATATACCTATTTTTTTTCGCAACAATCGATACAAATAACAAAGGAATGTTTTAAACACAGGTATATTTTACTTTTTCGCAATAACATGTCGTTTTTCGCTTTTTATTCTTACACCTAGAGCAGTTTCCTCTATGCTTGTCTCTTTCCTGAACCTCCTCGGGTTCTTAAATACCTAAAATTTCATTTATTCTAGAAGTTATGTTTCGCGGAATGTTTTAAATGTTGCACACTCTCTCAAATGTTCGTCAATAACTGCAAATGATATATTTTCCAAAAATTTTCTTCTTTGCATAAATTAACTTTGATCAATGTTTCCTTCATATATAACTTGAGAATTTATACCAGCCACGTTTAGTATTCTGAAGAGTACTATCATTGGCCACCGCCTTGATTGCGGACGCAATTATACAAAGCACATAATTTGTCGACCATACCTACACCTCCCTTGGAGTGATTGTAACTTATTATTATCTCGGGTTTCTATTTTCCTCCAGTATTCTTATCAATGCTGGGTCAGTTTCATGCAAAATTGATACAACTTTGCCTTCTTGGGGGATGCACGCAACTAGCGTGGATTTATTTCGGAATCCAAACATAGTTGAAAACGGTGGACGGATTTTACCATTGAGGGATAGTGGGTGTATTTCCCGTTTATTCTTTTTAATTGTACCCAGAATAGTTAGTCCGTGATTCAGTAACATGACAACGACACTGGCAAACCAATTATCTATGGTGGTGTTTCTTCCAGTATCCCACACTGGTTCACTAAATCGTCTGACAATATTAGCAGCATCATTATTTACTTTTAATGTCCCTCCTGTTGAGTTCCGACGTAAACCTCCATATTTTTAGTATAGTACATTTTTCGCATCTGCCAGAGCAAAAATTTTGACCATTTAGTTTATTTGGCATAAATTGTTTGAAGCTGCAACGTTCTCTAAAAATCTCCAATTTTTCATCTATTGCAGATACTTGGATGGAAAATAAGAGTTTTCACAGTTTCCGGAAAATAAATCAAAACTGATCTGTAGTTTTCCATTCGGTCCGCGTGTCTTTACTGTCGAATCAAATGTACCTCATTAGAAAACGGAATCACGCAATAGACATAGTAAACCTGAAGAACTCTGTTCCTGTACCATTTGTGGCCCATAGTTGCTCTGTGTTTAGCCTACTACTCTTGGTAACACCAGCGAGGTACAATAAGCCAAGAAGAGCTAATATTCCATTCCGGCTAGTTAACTTAGCATCTCTTTGCCGAGCAAAGGTTAGGATGTTAATGAAATAAATTTACTGGTACTTTCAACAATGACGTCAATAATTTCTTCAACAAAAAAACATTTCTAACAATCTATAAGAGTATTGTTTTTTTTAGAATGAGCAGTTACTCCGGGTAAATGAGTTACTATATTTTGTGTTCTTTTCTAATTTTTTTTGGCGGATCCATTTTACGCCACTTAGTATCCCCGTCTCTTTCTAAATACCATGGTCCAGCGTCTACTTCTTCATATTCGTTACATGATAACTCTTCCTCCTTGTCAGAATCTTGATCTCGGACTTATTTTTGGCGATATCTTCGTCTACGTGCTCATCATCATATATATCTTTGACTCTCCGAACTTCATCACGTAAACGTAAAAGACGAGCTTGTTCTGCTTCATAACTCCACCTTATTATTTTCTACAGAAAAAAATTGAAAAAGTTGCAAGAAAACTATACAAAAGTTCTACATCCTTACCTTCATAAACTAATACCAAAAATAACACAATAGTTATACAATAATACCGTTAGTAGTCGAAGGTAGTCTCTCAGACTCTCAGTGCTGCTAACTCCCGAAGTAACATGAACAGATATTAATGTGGTATCAGCCTAAGAGAGTACTTTTTCGGAAGGTACCGAAACGGTCGAGCGTTTTATCCAATCACCCCTGAGATATATATGTATTTAGAATTTCCAAACCTGCGACCCCCCCACCCCCTGCGTTACTGTAAGGTTAATGGATAAACTTTATTATAGCTTGCGTAATCCTAATGGTTAAAAAGTTAGTACTTACTCTTTTTAAAGATTATTAGGGTATTTAAACCCTTTAACGCTTTTATTTAAACCTTTTTAAGTCTTTGGAAATTAACTGTACACAGATATACATATATAGGATGCAGATGTAAGGACGTGACTAAGATGAAAGCTCAAAAAAAAAATTAAAGCGGCTGTTTATTTTTTAAGCGAATTTTCCTTATAAGCTTATTATTTGGGGATAAAAATAAAATCTTTAAAATATTTAAAAGAAATCCCCAAAAATTGCAATTTCCTTTAAAAATTATGAATTGAGATCTTTCTCAACGCACATGAATATAAGTTCATGCATATTACTAACCGGTATCTTTAATTCTACTTTACACTTTGCGCAAAGATGTTATTCCCTTTGACACAAATTCCTATCTTTTTTATTATTGCATTGCTTGTTTAATAATTTTATATTGGTCTAGCAATAAATACTAAATATAACGGCCTCAAAATGTTGATAAGTAGGCTACTTTATAAAAATTAATTTCTATAATAAGTTTCTTTTTATTCAGCAGTTAAAAACATACCCAGTATACTATACACAAACACAAGTTTTGCTCAATATTAATCAATATTGCACATATATTTTATTTTAAAATATAAATTTTAGTACAACACTTAGGACAGAAAAATGTGGTTAACTTGAAAACAGAAGAGCAGAGCAAACTGGTAAACGCCTCTTGCTAGCTTGCTAGGTCGAATTTGACCGAAATATATGAGAAGAGCTGTGTTTTTTCAACCTGTGACCCGGGAATCGC